GGGCGGCCCCGCAGCGCTGCCTGACCCTCTTGCCCGCCGCCCGGGAGGTGAGTGCCTGGCGTGTCATCGGGGAGTGGGGATTCTCGTTTGAGAAGAATTTTCTCAGTCCCGTTTGGCAACCAGAGGTTGCTTTACTGCCTTTTTTTTTATTCCCCAAAAGGAATAATGTAGGCTTGAATTTAAACAATTACTACTATCCTGTCCAGTCATCACTATAATAATGTTTTACATGTTGCTTTACCTTGCCCTTAGGCTTTCTCATTATTCTTTCAATTATAATGAACTGATAGCCAAAGGACAGAGTGCAGGGTTTGTTTTCTTTTAAAAATTATTTTCATTTTATAAACCTATAAAAATGCTTGGTACCTTCTCACAGTCACTGCCTATTTGAGACCCTCTGCTAAATCCCCTTTATCTCTTAATTTTTTATGCAAATAAAGCTCCTGCAGCTTTTAGGAAATTTTTTTCAGTCTGAGTGTTGGTGGAAAAACTTCAGAATTACATAATCTCACAGCAGACCCACCTGATATGACCCAAAGGTAAAGCTGTCTGTTGGTCTTTAATTTCAGATACCCTAATATTTTCTTCTTGAAATCACTAATTTCCTCATTATGCCTTAAAGGAAAGCTTTCATTATGAAAGCTGTGTGAATATTACATGCTACAATTAATACTGCTAATGTTTTTTTTTTTGTTTTTGCAAGAACAGATTTGTGAATTCTGGGGACCTAAGTCTAAAGCTAAAAAAGACCACAATACCCATGGATTAATCTGTTTTGAGAATGAGGACCTGGCTGTTCTTCCCTGGCATGTAAATTTAATACTTTACCAGGTTAGCTTGAATAAACAAGGTGCTGTAGCCAAGAGAATACTTCTCCAAAGCATTACCTTTTAGCACTGAATAAAGGTTAAGAACAGCTCTGTTTTGTTGGATCATTTCTCCTGTATTTTTAGATTCTATTGAGGTAGCTTCCTCAAAGACATCTCTCGTTTCCCTGGAGTACTGCCATTGCCCTAAAACACCCATTGCCCTTTTTTTTTTTTTTCCAAAGCCAGATTAACTGTTTTGCTGATATTAATAACCATGAAAGTAGAGCAGCTGTATGTCTTTGTATGTTAGTGGGTGCTTTAGGTATAGTGGTAGATGATAGATGAACATATGCTTATTGTTGTCTAGTTTGCAGTAGTATTTTTGGGAACAACGTCTGTCTATCTTTCCACGTAACCGGAAATAATTTTTACTTCCCAAATTGTAGAACCATACAAAAAAGAAAAGAAAAAAACAAAACAAAACAAAAAACCCCCAAAAAACCAAAATCAGATGTAATTTGACTGCAATGTCATTGAAAATGGTATCAGAAACATTTTTGGGAAACATTGTAAAGAGAAGTTGAACTTGATGTAAGAATCAAATGTTTCATTGGCTCCTCTTATTCCTTAGGATCTTTCTTGAGTTCAAAGAATCTTGAATTTAGTCCTGGAGAATCAAGCTTTCTCCTTCTGAAATGAGAGGCCACTTGTCTAGGCCTGTGCATTAGATGTGTACTATAAGCTTATCAAAATAGAGATGTATTGTCTTGAATGATGCTGCTCTTAGCTTTCAAGAGGATGTACTTCTCAGTGGTTCCTATACTCTTCCTCTGCATTCCCTTTTTGATCTTTGTGTTTGAAAAGAACAACCACTCAGCAAGTTCCAGATGTTGAAGTGAGTGTCTGGTGACACAAATTGGATGCGTTACTCTTTAAGTCCCTGGGTATCCTTAGGAATGTTGTCAAAAAGGTAGCTCATTATTTTGTTTATACTTCTGCATTCCTGTGACCTACCGCAGGTAAGATGCGTTCCTTTTTCCTCATTTTATGATCAAAACATACAGTTCACTTTTTTAACTTGCTGCAGTGAAGACATCTTGCAGGCATTGCTGCATGTGGAAGAATTGGAACTGTAACTGCTTCACAGCCAGGACTAAGTGCACAGCATAACCTCTTCAAGTTTCTAATGATAAAGTTTCCTGTCTCCAGAGGAGGTCCGAGAAGGCAGACCCAGGCACTGGTGCTTGAAGGCGTGCATGCCTCTTCTTATTTGCCTGCCTCAGAGTTTCTTAAGACAGTTCGCTTGGTTACTTTAACATTAACCACTGAACTTACAATTAAATAGTAACGAATCATGATGACTTAGTATTTGTTTCTTTTCAGTTACCCATGGATGTATAGTCTCCACAATCAAATTGTTTCTTCCAGATGGAATGGAAGCTCGATTGCGATCCGAGTAAGAATAAGATCTATTCATGTGTAGCAAAATTAAACTACTGTATAATGAGGATTTGATGGATATTATATTTCAAATCAGCATAGGAACAGTTTCTTTTCCTGTGATCATGCAAAGAAAATAACTGAGAGCATGGTTCTTTTGCAGGCATTATGAAAAAGAAATCTCATTTGCTTGTTGCTTTTAGAAGTTACAACAACTATGAAAGAATAAAAAAGTTCTATAAAAGAATAAAAAAGTTCTTATCAAGTTGGGCTTTTCTAAGTGGCTGTGGTTTAGTGTACTGGAATGGATATTATCAACAGAAGAATATAGACAAAAGAAAGCAAATGAGTGTGCTCCTTCCCTCTTTATTTGGGTTTATTATTTCTGGTCCTTTAAATGCGCATAGACTCTACTAAAGTGAGGTTAATGGTGTCTCTGTGTGCGTACATACATGTGTACACATAACACTGTTTATATTCTTCAGATAAGTAGTACAGTGACATGTCCTCGTGGTGCAGTTGTTTGGTGTCACAATGAAGGAAAGTTTTGCCTAGCACAAGGAAAAAAAAAAAATCGTAAAATATGTTGGATGCAATAATGTTTGGAAACTCAGATGAATATTGAGAGGGTTTTCTGTGTATATGTGCACATTTTGGAGAAAATTTCGAAGAGCAGCAGAAACAAAAAACGTAAACATTTTGTTTACAGTAACCAAGTGCCAATTACAAACGGCATAATTTTAATTATCTTTCATCCTCAGCAATTACATGTTTTTGATTGTTTATTTAAATATTCTTTTATCATTAGTATCCAGAAATATTTGCATGAAGCTTTAGGGTGTCTTTGCTTCTGGGAAGATAAGTCAAAATAAATTATTATGGGAAATTTTCTATTTAATTGCATGTCCTAATAAGAAATAGTAGAAATGTATGGTGTTAAATCTTTAGTTCTGATGAAAATGTGCAAGTATAACATTTGCTCTAGTGAAAGTGTACAAAATTCTGTAAGTTACCAAATATTATTTTACTCAGTTTGTTGAATTTGTAAACAAGAGTACTATATCTACTGTCTTTTCATAGCTATTGTTTTGTGCATGTAAATTGGTTTAAATCTTAATAAATCAGTTTTAAAAAACCCAAATATTATGTGACTACTGAAATAAAAATTAGTAAAGAGAATTTTTAGAATAGACCTTGGATTTATAATTTGAAAATAGTTGTGAAACTTTTAAAACATTGCTCAGCATAGCATTAACTGGTTTTGCATGTTTGTATATTAAGTCTTCATTTTTATCTGAAGAATAAACTTAAAAATACAAAGCATCTTGAGTAAATGCGCAGTACTAGGGATCTTCTAGATTTCTGAACTGCTATTCTGCACTTTGTGTTCACTTTTTAAATTTGTTTTTTTTAGTGTTATCCATGCTCCATTACCAAGTCCTGTTGATAAGGTAATTCAGTAATTTGCTGTCTTCTGCTTTATTCAGCCACATGCTGTTTTCTGACTTGTTATAAAGATGAAGAAATGGTGAAGTCCAGTTATATTTAGATATGTTTTCCACTGCCTGTTTTTACCTAGTTTAATATTTTGAGTGACATTTAAGGTAGAGAAGGTAATGCAGTATTGGAGTGTGTATTTTAAGGTAGCTTGACCTCTTGCAGTATGGCATCTGAAACATGGCTTAGAAAAAAACCCATTGATGTTAAGATGGTTAAATTTCCAGGTACAGGTTGACTGACTAACAGGTCTTGGGTATTGGTTAATTTGATACTTAATCTGTTCTTTGGGACCCAAGAGTAGCTCACGATTTTGGTGTTTGCATGAGGTCTGTTGTCCTTACGACTTGTTTTTTGTGGTGGAGAAGCTGCACTGCGCAAGCTGGAAAGTGCTCTGGCATGTTCCAAAGGAAGATTGAGACCAGACCTCTCTGCTCCTTTTATATAGCCAGAGTCGCTCACTGTAGAGTCATGGCGTCAGTAATGTCTAGTGTAATTTTTAAACTCAACTTTGATAACGTGGGGGACTTTTAGAAAAGCTGTTAATAGATACACCCTTGAGACGTGATCAGGAATTGATCATCTCTCTAGCCTCTAAAAAGAAGGATTAACTTAGATAGGTTTGAATCAGAGTTTTAAATGTGAAGAACAAAATTTTGAGAAACTAAGGAAACTTATTTGTGAAGTCAGCAGCCCGAGGAGTTTATAGACTTTGCATTAAAGTTGAGGTTTCAAAACAGCATATGTAGCTTGAATCCAGGGCGGGGGAGGAGAGACTGCAGGTATAACTGTGTGAAAAACAGCTTCAAAATTATGTCAGTGTAGGAAGAGCCTACAGGAATTAGTAAATAAATAAATTTGCCAAAAAACCCCCACAAAACAACCCCCCTCTTTTCCCCAAGTCCAGAACAGTTTCAGTTACGATTAAAGATAATATAGGTATTCCTCAAATTTGAAATAGATACTTATAAAGGGGAATGAAGAACATGTTGGCTAGTAGGTCAACAGGAGACTTGTGATTGAAATGTGTGTGTGATGATGACATTGAATTGGAATATGAGAGACTTTATTTTCAATTCTGGAAGCCCCCAATTTCTGTTTGTCCTTGGGTTGAATGGCTTTGCCTTTGTGCACCTTGTTTCTTTTTTGTCAGTTTAATCTCAACTGAAACAAAATCCTTAAACTCTTTGGTGTGTTGGTGATTCAAGAACTTGAAGAGATATTAGCACAGTGGAGCCTCAGTCCAGAGTTGCAAAGTTCTATGATAAAACAAAGAATAAATAGTAGCAGAACAATAAATGATTGAAAATGCCATTGTTAGATAATATTAAGTTTACCTTCGTGACTAGATTAAAATGATGAATTTTGCATTATTTGAGTTTAATGAAAAATCCAAACCCATTTTGATTCTTAAATTCTCTTATTTTTCAGGTTGCTGCTAACACTCCCAGTATGTATTCTCAGGAATTGTTTCAGCTTTCACAGTATCTACAGGTAGGTTTCTCTTGACAGCATTTTATTCAGCTAAATAATTAATCTTTGTTCAAAATACAAATCTTATGCTCTGTATGTCTTTCTTTGGCTTGCATTTTGTAAACCAGAACATGATAAGCATTTAACTACCTTTTCTGTAGTGAAATAATGTAAAACATTTAATTGGACATAGTATAGTTCTGTGTAAACTTTTGGGGTTTTGCATGAGCAGTATAAACTATGACTTTTATAATATAAACATGAAAGCTCCCTGTTTTATAGAAGGCTCCCTGAATGCTGTATACCTGCTTTTCCTGACCTTTCTCCTCTCCTACCTCTCTGTCCCCAATTTTCTTTTGGTCACAGTATTTTTGTCATCATCCGTTGCTGTGGATATACTGTGTATGTGTATAAAAGTTTTGGAAGAACAAAAGAAAAGCAAAACAAGGTCATGTCGTGTCAAGGATTAGTTTGTTTCTGTGAATGTAATTTCTTAGTGTGAATATTTCTGTCCATGTATCGGAAAGTATAAAGGAGGGGACAGTGCTGGCAGCTCTTCTTCCTCATTGGCATCACCAGCCTTTCTGTGCCTGCTCCTGTGTCCGTTTTAATAGGTCTGTTTTTTCCTAAGATGTCATGTCACAAAAGGGTTAGACTACAAAATGGGAATACATTAAAGTGTGTCCTAATATATATAAATAAACTATTTAGAAAGGATCATAAAATCAGCTTTCTGGAAAAGATATGAAAACATTCTTATTGGTAAATAACATCTAGGTTTGATTTATGTATAGTTCTACTGATTTATTTTGCCTGTTTTTTATAGTAATGGCAATTTTTATTTGCTCACATCAATGATGAGGCTTTTGAGACAGATACTAACTTTATATGTATTTGCTGACATAGCAGGAAACAGCTCAGGCAGATGCTCTTTCTTGGGAGGCCAAATACATACTCACTCACCAATCTGTTCACTCTCTGTATCCTGGAATTGTTAACGAAGATGCTCTTCTATTTTACTGTCATAAAACAAAAATCAAACAAAAATAGTAATTCTTGCTTGGCATTTTTCTTTTGTGACCTGATTTGAGGATGAACAGCTCATTGCAAGGGAGCTGCCAAGCTGCCTTTTGGTGTTTACAGTTTTGTTACTCAAATTATTGACAAAAGTCAAACTGGTTTTTGAGTCTTGGAAAGAATAACTTGTTACAATGTGTACTCAGCATGTACAACATACTCATGAAGAATGAAGGTTTTCGGGAACCTGAGGTTATAGTATAACATTTTCTAATTAAAATATCCAAATAAATATGTGGATGGATAAAATGGGATGGGCTTATTATAGTTTTGAATATGTGACAATGTTTGCTACTCACACTTCCTTTTTTTTTTGTATTTTGGTATCTCTTCTGTTGCTTCTGTTTCTCTGAGTTATTCTAGCTGAACTGACTGGTGCTCTGCTCTCTTCATAGGAAGCCTTACATCGGGAACAAATGTTGGAACAGAAGCTGGCAACCCTTCAGCGGCTACTTGCTGTCACGCAAGAGGCTTCAGATACTAGTTGGCAGGTATCTGCAGGCATCCTTTTCCTTTATGGACTGGAATATGCAGTGGCATGTAAATTTTAGCTATTAATTTACAAACAATGGGGAAAAAAGCAGCAGAAAGAATAAAAAGCTTATGGCAGTTCTCTTAAACTGTGCAAAAGATAATGTTTAATAAATGTAGTGATTATGCACCAGTTTGAAATAACTATTAGTAGTAAGTACTCCAACAAAATGAAAGTCTTTAAAGCAGAACTCTACTGGAACTACATAAAGCACATGTTAATACTAAGGTGATACTTCTTTTCTGCTAGGCTTTAATAGATGAAGATAGGCTGCTATCAAGATTAGAAGTTATGGGAAATCAATTACAGGCATGTTCAAAGGTAAGTAGTTCACTTAAAGTTGAATGCTAGGAATGCTGAAAGATAGCTCTTTTGAAGTGTTTTCAAATTAGCTAGTTGTAGGAAAGTAGCTGGAACATAAGCTTTCTGAAATGAGCCTGTGCAATTTTGATAATCTGAATAGCATGAAAATTGTAGATCTGTTCTGTATTTCATAGCATCACTTTAAATCTAGATAAAAGGCTATTTTTCAGCATTTTTTTTAGCCCAAACTGATTTCTTTTATATATGCATATAAACATGTACGTAGTGAAATGCAGAAAAGGAATTTCTGTCATTGGTGAGAAGCAACCATTCTGTCCTGTTTCCTATGGATGTCCTTTCCAGATAGGGATTTGAAAAAAGGCATTATCAAGGTGCCGTCTGATATTCAGAGACAGAGTAACAAGTATGCCCTGCCTTGATTGTTGTTTAGGCCACCTATGCCTGCCTTAAATTTTTATTTTTATTTTATTTTATTTTTAATTCCTCTCAACTACCTACTTTATAAGAACTTTTTTTTGCAGGTCCTGTTTGAGGTCTTTCAGATGGGACCTCGTAGGTTTCTGGTTTGTCAAATTGTAGGTCTCCTGGGCTTGACATTATCTTAGCAGTGTCCAAAAAAACCCCATAGTTTTCCTATAATCAAAGCTGATAATTGAATGTGTGCTGCCATACATACACTTCAAAAAATAACTGGTTTACACCCAGTCGCGTCAAGAATCTTTGATCACTGATTTGTCCATAACATTTTCCCATCTACCAGAAATTGCTAAACATTTTGGAATAGAACAGGTCTTATCACAATCTAATATATTTAATCAGCAAAATACTAATTTATATTCTGTCTTTGCATCTGAATTATCTTATACGTACAGAATCAAACAGAAGACAGTATACGAAAAGAGCTTATAGCATTACAAGAAGACAAACACAACTATGAGACAACAGCCAAAGAGTCCCTGAGGCGGGTCCTTCAGGAGAAAATTGAAGTGGTCAGAAAACTGTCTGAAGTGGAGGTATTGAAGTTTCATGCCTAGTCTTCTGGAAATGCTGAAATAGTTATAACTGCTGCTACTTACATCCCTGGTTTTTTACCTGTAATACACCAGTATTTGTTGTATTGTGGCACTTGCAGTATATTAAGTAGTAGTGTTTATTTCTCCTATTGGATAATACTTAGATTGTTAAACTGTTAATGAGAAACTATTCTTTACACTCCTTTTTCTGCCAGATTTCAAAGTTCATGAAGCTGTCTTACAGAAGTTAGTATTGTGTGGGAAGTAAGTGAGGGGAAAATGACATACATGCATTAGGAAAAATGCTCTTAGACCTTGTTTAAACTGTAAAATTTATGGAAACGTAAGCTTAACCCCTCATACAAATTACACGTAAGAATGCGTTTTTAAGATTACAAAGTTTTGGACACTTTCGCCAAATAAGATTTCTGCCCCTGTAATATCTCTCATTACTATCTTTTCCTTTATTTTGTTTTTCCATTATCATCATTTGCTATGTTCCCTTAGGTCAAGAAATACCGTAAGACTTAAAATTAAGTACTTAAAGTGTCTACCCTCTTCATGCTTTTTAGAGAATGTGATGCATGTAGTGCTGTAATAAATAACCTTATGAGATTTTCTTAAATACCCCTTTTTATATTGTAATAGTTGACAGGTTTGTTAATATTTGGAGTTTTATATTTACTTCTAGCTTTCTTCTCCTTTCCAATCCGATACTAAGAGAAGAATCTTCTGTCTTACTTATTATACTTTTTCCTCTTTATTTTGACTCTTGGAGGAGAAATATTAATTTAACTTTAGTAAGAGATTTGCTTGAGTGCTTCCTGCCATATACTTTTCTTTCCACACAGAAGAATTGCTGGCTGCTGGTTGAAAGTTGTCCTTTAATAATTATTATATAATGTAGTTTTGAATGCGCTTTTGTTTAAAGGTGTTTTGGTCTGTTTTGGTGGTGAAGAACTAAGTCAGAGCTTGTTACAAAAAAAAAAAAAAAAAATTGTATGAATGAAGAAACAAATCTTGAGCTATGAGGAGGAAACTCTATACACCATTTAGTTGTGCTGCTATCACCAGCTGATGCAAACTTCTGGAGCATTCCTTGCCTCCTGAAGACCCAGCTGCCTTTTGAGCAAGGGGATATTAGTTTAGTTTCCACATTATGGAGTTCAGAAAAAGATTTAGAACGCTTCCTGGGAGCCTTTTGGCTTATATAATGTGTTAAATCTTCTTTTGCTGGGTGAAAGGTATGATGAAATCTATTGATTACATTGAATCACAAAATATTATAAAACTTTCACAGTTTATCACAAACCAGAAGAGAATGGGGGAGATGGATCACATGTTTCAGTTCTTTATTCCTATCAATCACAATTAATTGTATAACCTACTGTGGGTTTTTTGATTTGGGCTTTTTTTACACATGCATGAAGCTAATATATTTTCACATAATCTGTTCTTTAAGTAGAACATTACAAAGGTTTGTATAGGTAGTGTTTTTGCCAGGACTTGATTTGTTTGTTTAGCCTTAATGATTAGCAACAAAGCAGATAAATATGATTAGTTACATATACTGTTTGGAAAAAATAGATCAACTTCAGTGTTTGGTAGATTATTAGTCTCTACTTTTTTTATTTATTGCATAATAATTCTATCTTACAGCGGAGTTTAAGTAACACAGAAGATGAATGTACTCACCTGAAAGAAATGAATGAGCGGACTCAGGAAGAATTAAGAGAATTAGCTAATAAGTACAATGGAGCTGTAAACGAAATTAAAGATCTTTCTGACAAGCTAAAGGTAATGACAGAACTTCATCTGACATGATGATACTATAATGCATGGAACAAATAAATACAATTTAATTGCTAATGCAGCAATCAAATAAAGGTTAAGAAACTTTTTAAACAACAGATAAATGAAAGAAAGATGCACATCATCTTTTACATATTCTTTTGATTTACATTTAATGTATCTGAAAGTGTCATCAGTTAAGTAAATTGTTAAAAAGGTTCCCTTTTCGTTCACTTTGAAAGTTACCATATTTTTGGAGCTGCAATGTATTTTAATAGAAAATTACAGATGGTATAAAACTTTATATTCAGCTGCTTTTATATAGACAAATAACTTTCAGCCTAAACATCTTACAGTTAATGGGAATTAAAACTAGAATTGAAGTAAATTTGCATTTCACATTGCCTCTTTGTGCAGTTACAAACATAATTAGCCTACCACATAGTAATAATATGGCTCAGCTTCCAGGGGCAAGGAGCATGCAATCAGGTTTGTTATTAAGTTAAACGTCTAAGTGTATTAATATTTAAAGGTCCTTTATGCTGGAGAGCAAAATAATCACAGTATGATAAAGCCTGTTCCCAAAGAGTCTCCAATCCAGATAAGTAGAAGATGTGGAGGAGGAAGGTAGTAGTGTTCTCTTTGTAGACCTGAGACAGTTGTTGCATTTGTCTTGGATAAATACTGGAATTTGAACTTAGGTTCTTCGAGTCCTCGTTTAGCATCTCAGACAGAAGATTTTTCTTTCCAAATTAAAATGTTAAATTGCTGGTCTTAAGGCAATTGGTTTCCCAGTTATGAGTTAATCACCAATGATGATGAATATACACAGAAGGATCAACACTGAAACTTATTACCTAGTTTTGAGGGAGGAGAGTCTTTGAAACTTATTACCATGAAATCCAGCAAAGAAGAAGATGTGGCTTTCAATCAAGTTGGTTTGTGCAATGTACATTCAGTTCAGAAGGACACTTGGGTTTTGATTGATTTGAGATGCTTGGAGACTTTGGGTGTTTCTTAGTTCTTGGGCCCTGATACTGTTCCTGTAAGATTTAGGTTCCTCAGACAAAAAGTTAGTTAAGATATTTTGAGATTCTTTCTCTCTGTTACTGTGCTTGAAGTGAAATATATAGAAAAATAACAGTAGAAAAATTTTGCATTGTTTCCATTTTCTTCATCTGACTAGCAAAGAAAGTTACTTATGTATATTTAGTTATACAAAAATCAAGGAAATCTATTCCTTTACATGTTAATTTTGATTTGTTTGGGGATTTTTTTAATCTTTTTTGAGCAGGTAGCAGAAGGAAGACAAGAAGAAATCCAACAGAAAGGACTGGCTGAGAAAAAAGAATTGCAGCATAAAATAGATGAAATGGAAGAGAGAGAGCAAGAGCTTCAAGCAAAAATAGAAGCTTTGCAGGCTGATAATGACTTCACCAATGAGCGGCTAACTGCTTTACAAGGTTAGTCACTAGTGGGTAAGAAACTTTGATTATTTGTTTTTCTTTTAATCTGTGAAATATCTTTTTCTTGGACTTCTGTTTACAGTACGGTTAGAACATCTTCAAGAGAAAACTCTTAAAGAACACAACAGCTTAGGTAGGTGCGATCAGTTTCTTGTTTCAAGCTGGTTTCCAGATTTTCTGTTCAATTACTTTTATTATAATAATCTTGTAGTCTAGGGGTCTGGCAAAAGAATAATGTTTTACAGTTATTCCAGTAGTGCATTCTTCTTGGTCATCACTTGTTAACATGGAAAGACATGTGGCCACAACAGAATGCCAGTAGAGGGCACTGCTGTTGTGAGTGTGCAGACTTCTGGGTCATCGCTCAGTTTGGAGCTCTGTCTGTGCCCCATCAGCTCCAAGATTTTGAAGATTTTTATATACATATATATATATATATGAAAGGATTTTTTACACATAGAGAGAGAGAGAGATAGATATGTGATAGGCAGTAGTTTTTTGGATGATGGTAACCTCATATACGTTTGAACAAACACGAACATGATCTGTAGTGCAGGAAAACACGCTAAATCTTGCCTGTTTTGTTTGATTAGATACGATACTTAGGAGGTAGTATGAAAAGCCAGATGCATTTCACAGTGCTGTATTTATAAAGAAACAAAACCCAAAACATTTTGCTTCGTTGCAGAAATAATGCCCTTTCTTAATCCTAGGCATACAAGTTGACGACTTCATACCTAAAATTAATGGGAGCACAGAGAAAGGTAGTGTATCTTAAGGCTACCTTTTGTCTTATGGTTGATGTTTGAAGTTGAACAAATTCAAAATGTTCTCTAAAGTTTTACTTTGAATAATATTCTCTTAAAAAATGAAATTAAATTTGTCCACTCCTCTGACCAGCATTTTTTTGCTTAGACTTTTTCAGTCTAGGTTTTTTTAGAAAGTGTGTAGAACATAATGAGCCAACTTGGAAGTCGTCTTTTTTTTTTTGCTTGTTTTTGATGGGTTCTCACTGTAATCAGTAGGAGTCTACTGAATGATGACACAAGCAAGTGGAAGACTCATTGACTTTTTTCCTCTTAATTTTTGCAACACAGACATATACCATTATACCATTTTTCTAGTAAATTGGGTATGGTAAGTAAAGTCAGCAAAACATTTTTTTTTCTAACTACAACATATGAAAAATGTGAGTATATGAAATATATAAATAGTAAAAACTAACTTTTTAAAACTCAGGAGTGTATTTATGTAAAAGAAGAATGAATACAGATTGAACTAACTGATGGGTTTTTTTGAAGACTAATTAGTTAAAGCTAAGTATTTTAACTTACATGTCTTAACATACACTTGAAGTTGTTTGAACAAAATTGTCTGATAAGAATATGCCCAATATCACATATAGCAAAGATTATTCCAGTTACGATTCTAAATTCACTGAATTGTTCCACTGGCTAAGATATATTTGTCCTCTTATGTTAATTTTAAATTTTTCCTTGATGCAGCGTTCTTCAGCATTTGCTGTGTCTTGCTGGATAGCGAAAGCTGTGAGGAATGGTGGTAGTATTAGTTGGAAGGATGGGCCACTTGTATAGAGAACTCATGGTTTTAACTCATATTCACAGTGTTTAAGGATTACTGTATACATTTTTGAAACAAAATTTGAAAACTCTCTATGCTCTAATTCTTAGCTTTTTACCTTCTTTTTTTTTGGTATTATACATGAAGAGCTGCGTAACTAGGGAGACTAATAGCAAAATAGCCTCATGTCTATTTCTTACTTGGAGCAGGAAGAGAGATCTGTTAAACGCTGACAGGAACTGTACAAAAACCTCCCCTTAATCTAAGTACTAGTTATCCCTTAATGTCTTAGCACTTAGCTATGATGCACACTGAGATTAGCAAGCAGGAGACTTAAAGTCTGTTCCCAGTTCTTTGGACTGCCATACTTTGTTTTAAGATAGATTGATCCATCTTGCTGCTGCATAGTTTTAGGTTGGTAATACTCTTAATGCTTGATAGAATGGTTAAGAAATAAATTGGCTTTTAATTTTTTTTAAATCTTCCACCCCAGAAAATAGTTAACTTCTTTACAAAGCAAAACTAAGGTACTATATAGGGATTGTGATTCTTCATTCTAATCATGTGAACCGTTAAAAGGCTTTGAAAGTTAGATTGTTGGAGGTTATTAGAAAAACATGCAACACTGTGAACAAAAGTAGCCTAGAGCTAAATTGAAACATTTAGTAAAAGCTTTCAAGCTTCAAGTGCAAATACATATTGTTTTATAGAGAAATAATTGATAACATCACACTAAATATGATTTTTTTTTTTTTTTTTTTTTAAACTAACTCGCGGGTTTAACCCGGGGGGTCAGCCAAACACCACGCAGCCACTCACTCACTCCTCCAGTGGGACAAGGAGAAAATTGGAAGGGTAGGAGTGAGAAAAACTCATGGGTTGAGATAAAGACAGTTTAATAGAATAGAAAAGGAAGGGAAAATAATAATAATAATAATAATGATAGAATGTAGAAAATGAGTGATGCACAATGCAATTGCTCACCACCCACGCTGACCGATAACCAAGTAGCGATCGCTACTTCCTGGACCGCACCTTTTATTTATATACTGAGCACGACGTCATATGGTATGGAATACCCCATTGGCCAGCTGGGCCAGCTGTCCTGGCTATGCTCCCTCCCAGCCTCTGTAGAGTCCTTGACTAGAAGGGTACTTAGCAACAACTGAAAACATCAGTGTGTTATCAACATTCTTCTCATACTAAATCCAAAACACAGCACTAGGGCGAAATTTAACTCTATCCCAGCCGAAACCAGGACACAAACACTTTTTTTTGTTTTAAAATTGTTGGTAGGAACATCTTGTTAGGTTTTTTTTACATACTGCTACCTCTTATCAGTCTGACTTTGAAAATTGTCTGAAATACTATTTCAATATTGAATTCACTATTATGCGATTATAGCAAACATCATTATCACTATTTACTTTTTTGGCAGAGTTGAAGAAGCAATCAATTTTTGACTTATTTTGGCTTGCCTAAGAGTGAAAATGTCATCTGGATGGATGCATGAAAATATAGATTCCTCCATCCTATGAGTAACAGTAGAACTTGTGCTTAAACCTGGGAGTTTTAGGAAGCTGTCTGCCAATTTCTTTTTCTTTATGAATATAGACAACATATACCTGCTTACTCAAGTTGTCTTTCTGTGTGTTTATACAGTCTATCACCTTTTTTTGTCATGCATCCACCATGCTATTTTATTATTCTATATTTTAGTGTAGTTTTCCATTATTCTGTCTGTTGTACTACATTCTTCTGCATCTCTGCTACCTGGTCCATCCACATTTCTCTGGCATTTTACACCTTGCTGGCCTGTGTTCTCTTCATGACAGTCTGTGGCTTTCTGTATCTTCCTGTCCTTTATCTAGCCCTTGTATAATGGCAGATGGGCAGTAATTTTCTCTGCCAGATTTTGGATTTTGTTATCCTGAAAGCAGCAGGAGGCAGTTACTGGGTTTTTTGCTGAGTAGTCTTGCAGTATTTTAGAAGAGCTAAGAATTTAGGGTTTATAATGTAGATGCAGCAACTTTGGCAGTGGAAGAGGTTGTAGATATTTTGCATAAGGAAAAGACTTCACATTTGAAGGCAGAAGTCAGAAATTAATTTTTTTTTTTTGTGCTAAATAGCCTGTAAGGGAATAAAAAAAATGTTTTTCTTTACTTGTATACAAAGAGGTATACATACCTTCCTCCGTCAGAGGAAAATGGTAAAATCAGTATGCTTTTTAAGACTCCTTTTGTCTCTCTGTCTCTTAAAACTTCAGGTCAAGTCCTCAAGGTATGTTTATAGGCATACTACCTAGCTGTTGCAAGAATAGGATTTTACATTACTTTTTTCTGTGGATGTCCATTAAAAGATGGACAACATTAAAAGAGCTGTACTGTGGGTAGAGGAACTAAGAACTCATGTTATAGTCTCTCTAGAGGCTTTTTATAACAAAGCGTATTAAGATGATGATGGTTAGGCATTCATTTTCTGTCATTGCACATATGGAAATTCTGGTGCAGAAGCGAGTACCTTGCTTATACATCAAGCCACTGATAAACGTTTTGTAGAACTGAGTTATTTCAGTAAGTGGTATGTTTCTCAGTGAGTTGCACCACACCTGGCTTTCATATTTAAGTTTTGTGAGCCATATATTATGTAACGAAAGATACGAGAAATTTGTATACAGTCACTTAGAGGATCATCTAAAAGGGCTAAAAATAGAAAAGTTTAAATACGGAAAATAAATGTTATAGCCATGGTGCTGTCTTTTAAAAGCCTTGTGGGTTAGAAAAAAGTTTACTTTTTGGAGTAACTTTGAACTATAGCAAAGCTTAGTATTACATATTGGATCTTAACACCTAAGCTTCTGGTATCAGAAGCTAATGATTGAACAATTTTGTTCGAACGTAACGCATTTTGCTGGTTTGTGTACTAAAAAGCAGCTTTTTCAGATTGCTAGATTCTTGAGGTCAAAGGATTTTTGACGTTATTTAGAAAGGAAGTGTTAGCACCTTTTTATGTGAAGAGATGCAAGATTCTGATAAGTTGGGAGCTGAACAAGGTCACATAGAAGGACTTGGGTAAACCTGGGAATTGAGCCCAGTTTAGGATCTCTACTGTAGAACTGTCCTTTCCAAAATTGTTGTTTCTGTGCAGTGAAACTTTGTTTAAAAAGTAAAGGGAGATATTCAGCAATACTTTTAAAATAAATGTTTTTCATTTCAAGGGGTTATTAGATATGAAGAATAAACACGAAGACTAAAAAACTTATTAAATGCCCTTTTAAAGCTAATAAAAAATGCTGAAGAATATAGGTTAAATACATGTTTCTTATTTCTTCAGTGCTTGGATTTGGTATTTCCAGTTATCCATGTCTGATTATGAATTAACAAATGGGAGGAACTAGAGGCATCAGTGCTATGGAG